TTTTTTAATCATTTTGCTCCTTTGAGAGAAAGTCGCTGCTGGGCTTCCACCTTCCTAAGTTCTCCCCTAGATATAACTTAAGTTTTAATGATTTTATCAATTAATACTTGAATATTTTTTATAAAGATATGATATAAAGATATTGTGTTTTAGTAATTTAAGGCTTAATATTAGGATAATTTTTTTGACTTTGACTTTGAAATATGTAAATAATAAAAAAAGAACATTTTAAAATAATATAAACGTAATTCAGTACCTAATAAAATCAAAAAACGTCTTATAGCTATGGATCCAGGTATAGCATGAGAGTTACGCGATAACTCTGCCGCCGGTCCTAACGTTTGTTGAGTTAAAACTTAATATCCAATATAAGGTATCTATGCTAAACTTGTGATACAACATCTTATATTCAAGATAAAATATTGTTTTCATAAAAAGTACTTCTATTATAAGCAGCTCGTTTAGAGTTAATAAATTCGTCGCAACATAGAGAATGTAAATCATTGAACGGCATATTTCCCATAGCGTGCTGCGTGTTAGCCGATTACGAGTATGGTTATCATATGAAACTATCAAACATGTGCATTATTGCAGTTTATAAATATTTTTTCGAGTATATAGCTTATTATTATTATTATAAGCTGTATCAGATTAGCAGGATATAAGCAGCAGCTTTCTTTGTAATAATTATTATTTAACGGAAAAATTTAATGATAAATTAAGATAAATGTGTTAATGTCAATTGTAGTATGGATATTTCTGTGCCTTGACAGGGTTCACAGTGTTCACACTGAGTTCGGGTGATTAGTGCTCATTCTCCATGTGGTTCTAAAGAATTTAATAAGTAAATGCCTAATGTAAAATATTTGGTGAGTTTTGCATTCACAAACAGACCCGTCTGTTAATTTTATTTTTTATTTGGATTAGTAAATAGTTTACACAATAAGAATCTATTACTACGTTCTAGGGTTTATAAATTGGTACAATTATTTTGAATCACGCCGCTTTCCATGGGTTAATAGTATCTGAGACAATGTATTTGTTCAAATTTCTAAGACTTTTCAATGGTTTTTAACGTATTTTAAGTAGTTATCCTAATTTAATTTAAAAACATTGTTCATATACGTTTTGTACGTGGCATGTATTTAGTAATCCTTGTAGGGTATGCAAATTTAGTGTAAGGTATACAACTCGATCGCTAAACGGTGCTTCGTAAGCCGGAATCAGCTATAATAGAACAAAACGTTTTTATGAGGCAACTTGCTATGTGGGGTCGATTGGATTGAATTGCGGAATTAACGACGTGGAACGATATTGAAGCTTTTTAATTTTAAAAGAAACTAGCTTTTTCCCGCAACTTCGCCTTAGTTTTAGGTCTAGTTATAAGTCCAGAAATGGGAAATTTCATTAAAGCTTTCATCTCCTAATTTACCCCCTTAGGAGTCGAATATCGTATGAGCACCTACGTCCTAAAAAAGAACCCGCATGCAAACTTTGAAACTCCTAGCACTTGTAGTAAGTAACGAAGTTTCATACAAATGGAGGATAGGACATAAACCTCCAAGCCTGGCACAATGCGGAGGGTGTTAATGACTGCAAATGCAGCTGGGACCCACGGTTTAAGTGCCTTCCGAAGCACGGAGTAGCCCGAGATAATAATCTTTCGGTCAACCATCCCGTGGCTGACCCTTGCGAAAGTTGCTTAACAACAACGACCACGGGCCGCGGCGCTTATCCACCACGCCACCATGCTAATTGGTACACAGCATAAAATTATGAAATGTAGCCAAGTATTTATCCATGGGAATGGTCATGTGTCTTCCACTTACCGACTTTTAATTACACAAAATTAATTCCTACAAGTTGACTTATTAAATCACTCCCCTTGCCAAAGGTAAAAAAGTGCGTTATTAATCATAGATAAATAGCTCTAATTAACAAGTAGACAAGATCAAAAAATTTCTACTAAGTATGTTAGATAATGTAACAGTTGTCAAATTTAATTGGCAACGCGGCGGTTCCCATACGTCGAAAATTTACCCTCGTAACTGCGGCATGTAACGTTAAAACTACGATTGTTGAGTATAATTAGAGGTGTGCTAGACGGTAAATGTTGCAATCACGCCACACGACAGCTGTGAAGTGTCAACTGGATTTTTATAACTACACTAATTTCATAATATAAAATATTTATCTATATTGTTTGATGACTCAAACACATTTTATTTTTTTATTCTTTACTTAAGTAATACCTGCTTTTATTTATCAGACTAATAATTATCTGTTATCAAATAACAAATGGTGATCTATATAAAAATTTCCGTATGCGGAGTCTACAATGCTTATAAAGTTTCCTAACTTGACAATCATAATTAACCAGTTAGTTAGCTAACTTATTAACTTATATATTTTATACTAAACATACCTACATGTTTTTTTTACTAAATGCTATTTCAATTATCGAGTTTTTAATTAATTTCGGAAAGTCGGACAATTTGAATATCACTTTTCAAATAGAACGTAACATTTGCTTAGTTTATAAAAGCTGTATAAAACATAAAATGACTAACTAATGAACAATAATATTATAGAATTTACTTTTTTTTCAATTAATATAATAAAAAAAATCTTTCAAAATGGCCGTTGAATGAAGTCAAATTAATTTCTCGTTTGTCCATAACTACCCGTGTTTGTGTGGACGATCGTATTATTACTCGCAATTATTCTCTAAGTCACGGTAATTACATCGCTTCTATGGTAATTGAAAAAGTTTTCTATCGATATGAACGGTGAACAGTCGAAAATTACACCTTCCTTCACGTTTTTTTCAGGACCAGATCTATATCGGATTTATTCAAACATTAATTTGAACTTTTAATAATGATTCAACGTTCCATCGTCGTATTTCGTGTTGATTTCACAACGTAATGACTTTGCCTCGAGTGTAATTTCAAAACTTACAAAGTGATTATTATATTGTGTCGTGATTTTATAAAATTTCTATTGTATGTTTTATGCTACACGTTTATTTACGTAAGACATAATGATATTTACGTTGTTATGAATATAAGAAAATTTTTTGGTATCCAAATAACAAATAAAGAATTTTGCATCAAAAATATTGAGCAATTTTCCTCCCTATTCTAATATTTATAATCTATAAAAACAATGGCATTAAACTAACATTTATCAAAAGAAATATAATTTATATGACAGTGTAATAACGCTTACACAGAACTGTCATAACTTACATCATGATAGAAGAATTATTGCGCGACTTCTATAATTTATTTGATAGAACACAATCAGCCAGTTGGATAAAAAGGCCATCGGTGCACTTGAATACTCGAGAAGTGTTTTAACTTTTTTCAAAGTGCAACACTTTCCCAGGGAGGGCCCTTCAGAATGCTACTGCGTTTAGACAAATGAACTGCACCCCTCGTGGCACACGCCACTCTGTGCCACTGGAAACACAGATATTTAAACCGCGATATGTCATGTACTGGAAATGCTTGGATTGAAAACGTCCGTTTAGTCGACTGCTTGCTGTAAAGAAACACAGAGGATGGCTTTGTTAATTGTCCATGCAGGTAGGTATATATTTTACTTGTGACAATCACCAGATACCTGGGTATACTTCAGTACCTATTTCAAATAATTTTTTACCAATAAAAATTTCATATAATTGGATGGGGATTGATTAAGCTTACGGGGAATATCGCTAAAGCATACATAAGTTTCTATAAAAACATGTAATAATCAATTATTCAAAATAATCCATCTATCATGACTTTCCTTCCTTAATACATATAATAATTTCCTTTATTTTTGAATCGTCCGTTCTTGTTAATGGTATTGTTGGTAAAATTAAGGATAATCCAGTTGAAAGTAATTCTTTGTTTACTATATGTGTAGTACCACAAAATGGCGGAACTCGCAGGACACAATAAATCAATTGGAGTGGGTGGTTGACTTTTCACTCAAATGTGTGGTTAATTGTAACCGAAAATGACTGTTGATCGAGCCGCACTTAATTTGAGTGGTGCTTGTGTTGTTTGAGGGTACGTAGACCGACTGGGGTGGAAGTAATGGGCCGGTTGCCTTCGTGATTATTTGATATTTGTACTAATTTCGTTCAGCGGAACTGGCTACGTCATTAAATTTGTATTGTGTAGTTTATAATGTCTAGTGTTAGGTGTTAGATAGGTAAAATTAGGGCACAACATTTTTATATCAGATTAAATTTTTATTGTGTAGTTTATATTTCTAGTGGTCGATAGGTAAAATTGGGGCACAATTTTATGGTATTAGCAGCTATCGGGAATAGTAATTCGAATGGTAAGGTTAAACCTATACATAGGTCTATGTAGATTATTCATAGGTCATCCAACTGACAACCCCCGTGGCCACGGTTTCAATGTGTCGCCATCTCTGAAGTCCAGGATTCGATTCCTGGTCGGGTTAATATAGACTTTTTATTTATTTATTTAATATAACTCAATTACATTATTATATTTCATTTCTGGGTGTTGTGCTGCCTTCGTTGTTTCAGATTTCTATAATACATGTGCTTTAACTACTTAAGTTAGAAACTGAACAATATATATGATGATTTAAATATTAAAAATATCTGATAAATAATGTTTTATAGTAAGTATTATTATAGGTATGTCAATAAATATAGCCGTAGGTATTTACTTCAGAATTAGGTGCATAGGTATACTTCAATAAATATGGCCATTATGACACCATCGGCCAGAATTGAGAAAAGCACAAAATCTCAACTTATTATTCCCAATAACTTAAGTTTTTTACGTTTCATATGGCAAAAAATCCTAGTTTTATCAATTTGCTATCAATTGATCATTAAAAATTATAAATCAGTTGTGAAAACCTGTTTAATTGACGTTTAAAATAGCTTAAGCACGGTTTGAGACGTGCTCAACTCAAAGTCTCAATTTAGAAACCGGATGTATAAGTAATAAAGGAAAAATAGTAGTACCTAGATAAATCAATGTAATATATTTGTATACCATAAATGCTTCACAAAATATTAAGGTTTAAATAAAATGTTATAGTTGTTATTTTTATTTTCAGAATGTATCTACTATGTAGATTTTTAGTGGTAACATGTAACTTTATTAACATAATTTGTTAGATTAAAACAAAGACAAACAATGCAAAATAACGATAATATAACGCGGATTTGGAGTCAAAAAAAGTAAACAAAAAAATTGTGACATTTGTTATAGTTCAACATAAAGCGAAGTATGTATCTTCAGTTTTCGTCAGGCCAATAGATCTCGATCATTTTTTTGAGTCGATCATCTAATTCTGACCCGTTGGGCGGTTGTTTGCCGAGTAGAAACACGAACTTCTCGTGGCAGTCCATCATGCCGAGGTAATGTCCTTCAATAATCTTCAGACGCATAGGGTACCGGTGGAATTCCGCCAAGTCTAATTTAGCTGTGGATAAGTTTTCGTTAGACGAGATAATGGCACTTTGGTTTGCGCGCATTCACGTGGCGGAATACTGGAGTCATAGGACTACCCAACCAAAAGTTCACCATGTCAAGCTCCTCCGTGCTTCAGAAGGCACGTTAAGCCTTTGGTTTCGGCTGCATCTGCAGTCGTTAAGACCCATGTATATGATTTTGGCAGCATTATATGTCAAAACTCTTTTAATGTGTAATTTATTTATGTTATAAATAAATCTCACTCGAGTAGCACGTTTTGCAATATTTTTACTCGAGTCGACTAAATTGGCTCGAGTGACTCGAGTCACAATTCCTACTAGAGTTGCATCACTATTGTATGCTGTGTCACCTGCGTATGATGTAGCATTTCGTAGGTGAAAGATTATTCACGATCGCTTCAGTATTTCCGAAGATTATCCCCTAGAAAGAAACAAAGTTAGAAACTGTACATCTTATTCGTATAGATATTAAGAATATACCTGCGGGAGACGGCATTTGTAATGTTCTATAAGAGCCGTCACCCTCGAGCCGCTCCAGATAGTAGTCCCGAGTCCGGTTGCTGCCCATGCCGCTACACGGAATCTGCATCTTCAACGTTAAACTTTCCCATTTCATGTTTTCTACATACTTGTCAATACGTTCTGCGAGCTCTTTGCGTTCCTAAATAATAAAATCAATAAGTTTCGGATTGATTTTTTTGATTGATTCTTATTGCGTTGATATAAATATACTGTCGAATTTCAAATAAAATATTTCAGTAATTTCTGATAAATGAATACATAAAATCTTAATTAGGCAAGGATAGAAATACCCAAATATGACATCATATTTTAGTAATCTGTAGGACAGCCTTTTACGGTCGTGCGTATATTCTAGCAAACTACAGGAATGCCTCGGGAGTGATTTAACAGGTACCCTTATCAAACTGTACGTCCGTACCTACTCTTAAAATCGTCATTTTAATGTATTGTCGCCTGTTTGAAGTTCACGAAATATGAACATTGGGTTTGAGTATACAACACCTGATAAGTATAATAAGTCTTCGTGTAATATTTTATTTGCTTACCTGTTCACCGACAGGAGTAAATTCTACACAGTGAGGGTCTCCACTGCCATTAGATTTCTCGGTGCTATAATGCAGCAAATGCCATGTGCCGATAGCCTGGGTATCGTTGAAGGTTAGACCTTTCGTATATTCTTGGCAGGTGGTCTTATTGCCATGAGGTTTCGACGAAGCTACAGCAGAAACGCATAAAAGTGATGCTGAAACAAGAAAAATAAAAGAAACATAATACACATATAGAATATAGAACGCATAGTTACATGACTGACAAAAATAAAACAATTATAATTAAATATAGAGTGCATCCGGTGTAGTGTCCAAAAGGTGTCAGTTCGACTTGTGCTGCAGATAACTGCAACGTTGATTTTTTATGCCTTTAGTAATATCCGGTGTGAAATCAGCTTTTTATTGATGTATATGAACTGAAACAGCAGTGTAGATGCGACAATACACATTAACACAATAACAATGAAACTATCACAAACAATTTTATCAGGTAACCGAAAGCGAGCAAATTAAGCTGAAATATGTAATACATTTACCAAATATAATAACATGTAGAGCTCTCGACATTTTGAGAGCCAGTCTTACGAAGTCCACTCGGGTAATGAATTGAATGACTTGATGGCTTATAAGGATTACACAGTTAAATTACAACTGATGCTTTGGAATTGGACATGGCAATTTGCCGTTTTTTTTATATTTATTATTTTTGTTTGAAAATAAGTATGGTTTTGTTAGTACAAATGAGAAGTAGTTGGAGATGATTTAATAATCATTCATTATACGTATCCAGTTATTTCCAATTGTTGTGTTATGCTTAAGTTACTATATAATATTTTGTGGGTTAAGTCAAAGTACATAGGTCAAGAGTTATTGACGCTTCGAAGAGTAATACATATACAGTACTTATATCGTCGCTCTAAGATAAACTTCTCATGTATTGTGACATGTCTCCTTTCTTATGCGGAAGCCTTTATACCTTGGATTATTCGGGCAAATATCCGGGCGGACGCTAGCCATAGATCACTTTTGTACAATTTTAATATTTATTCCTACGGCAGATCAAAATTTCATGTGTCAGTGTAGCATTGTGATTGCTTTAGAGTAGATAATGACTAAAGATAAAGAGGTACATCCTGTTGAGCTGGGGGAATTGTTCCTGCAAATGTGACAACGCATGCTGCGTCCGCAGGCCGGTGCGTTGGCGGGCACGCGAAATGTTTCACATCTTGTAATTCCATGAGGACAAGTGGAGTGGTCTGAGTGAAGGTCGATTTTTGGCTGCAGATAAAAATCATTCAGGTAAAATCCAATTTAATGTGATGAAAATATTATTTTATTGAAAGTTAGAGATTACCAGACCTTCAACGAGAATTGAAATTGAATATTTCATGCGTCGCCAAGAATAAAGTTATTAATGTAAAAAATGAAAGATGGTTCGTTTCTCTTTCAATAGCAATAAGTTGCTTATTCAAAAGTATGGTATATACATGGTTAAAAGTCTAGCTTTTGGTGCAACGCTTTTTTGGTCACTGACGGTTTGCTCAATCATGGATTTGGAAAGGGAACCTAATTCTGTCAGACAGGGAATAAAATTATTTTTATTTAATCTTTTTATATAATCAAAAAATGTTTAAAAATCTACTCTGTGATTGGATTTTTTAATTAGGAATATCTATAAACACTTCCAATCTACGGATCGAATTTACGGGGAAAGTAGATAATAGAAAGTAATAAATAAAACTTTTTGTATAGTGTTGGCCCTTGGTTTAGTTAGGCATCGGATGTGTATTTTATTAATTTGCGTGTTATGTAACGTATAAACTTTGTGTTATAAACAATAAAATAACAGATAAGGGTTAATTTTCCTATATTTTATTTTAGACCATAATATGGACTTGCAGAAGAATATAATATATAACATAATTTATCTATTTATGTAGAAATCAATCACTGTTCGTTTGTCTCTTCAAAACTCGTGAACGACTGGACTGATTTAGCTGATTTTGATTTTGAAATGTTTGTCGTAGTCTAGGGGAAGATCTTGACACGAAGTACATCAGAGGGCCAATTCTACTAAATACATTTTGTTTAAATCTAATCGACGGTACTAAGCGACATACGATACAATTTCAGCTAAAATAGAACTGGATGTATCGTATGTCACTTGGTAGAATAGGAAAACCATTAAAAACTGTAGTTTCGTTCGGTTTCGATCCGTTTTCGATTCGATTTAAACAAAATTTATTTAGTAGAATTGGCCCCAGGTCATCTAGTGTTATTAATTGTAAAGTTATGTAATTTTAATGTAAATTTTTGTAATGGTAGTCTTACCAGCTGTTAGAGTATCACGTTAGCTCTACCAACACTACCACGTGATCGAATTTCATTCAACAGTCATTGAAGAGTTTAAATGTAAACTAAGTAACTAAAATTAAGCTGTCCGGTTGCATATATTTTGTATGATAGTGATATATTAATTTTGTGTAGGTACCGAAATTATATCTCTCTTTTTGAATAAAATAAACATAATGTTAACTTTGCTTTTGCGTTTTTTCTTAACTATTCTGCGACGTATGGAATTATACACCGCTGGAGATACAGTTTCTGATCGTGCGGTTTTTAAAAGCATCCTGTGTGGTTTTAGGCATATTGTTTTGCTTTGTTTAAATAAAGAAGGTAATACATGAAAAGTACTAAACAAAACCTAGCTTAATTAATATTTATTTCGTGTTAATAGTTCTCAAATTGGGCACATAATGTGTTGATTGAATAAAAATTCTTAGCTGAAATATATATTCCATACATAATAAAAAATCAACTATTCAATATGAAAGTCGCTATATTCAAAGTTAATGTAAAGCAATTTTCCATGCGTTATTTAACTGAGAAGCTCGATATCGCAGTGGTGTGGCCCATCGATTTCATCTATAGGGAAGGCCTGTGCTCCAGGGGCGGATCCAGACCTCAAAAAAGGTTGTAGTTACAGCCACCCGAAAACAGGTCAAATACTCCTGTTCAAAATATTGAGTTCTTGCAAAGGAGATGTTAACTCAATTATATGATGCTCCGTGTGATCAAGAATTTGCAGTGTTGCACATGTAATCAACCATAGTTAGACCATGAGAATGTGACGTCACAACTCTATTAGGGTTGTGGGCATGCCCATCGTGCCCTTAATAGTAGATCCGTCTTTGCTGTGCTCCAGCTGTGGGTATATTAATAGGCTGTTGGTGAGGTCACTATTTGCAGCTAACATATTCGGCCCCAGTCCAAGATCGCGCGACACCTGGTGAATTAACTTGAAATGTTTTTTTTTGTCTTTAACTCAAAGTATCATTTAAAAACTCTTTTATACATAAATGATAGGAAGAACAATGTAATTACGTTTTTTATGTTTTCTCTCATTCATTTCGCCGAGTAATTATTGCTTTAGAGTCCATTAGTGTGATCACGATTCTATTGTAATTACACCTGTATACTGTTAATATTAAAAGCTTTGTGCTTATTTTAGTTTTTAAATTAAAAAAGGGACTCGAGTGCTTGTTATTTATGTAATGGTACGGACTTGTTTTCTATAAATAAGAGGTTATTAGCTCTAACTTTCATTGATCGTGAATATTCCCAACATTGGACTTCAGGATTAAGATGTTGTTTATTGAAAAAAGAAAACGCTTTTTCTATTCTTTCTATGCGTGTAATAAAGAGATTTTACTGTTGACCTAATTTATAAATCACCATCCAATATATGTTAGGTATAGATAGAAAAAGCAGGCCTCTCAGATTAACTCTTTAGGGAAGGATCATCTCTTCGAATCACGTATATTTTAAAATGGTTTAGGAGATTACCGACAGGTTTTTAAGTTTTTTTACGACTTCAAACATTAAAAACAATAAGGTAATACCGATTTCAATAAAGTGAAATACCGCACCGTAAAACTAAAATACCATAAAGGCAGTTTTTGTTATCAAAAAAATGACGATTGAAGTTGAAATTAACCGTTTACAACATAATATCTGTGAGATAAACCCTTGCTGAGTTTCTACAGACAAAGAAATTTGTATTAATCATAATGAGTAAGTCAATAGACTTATGGCAGACACTTACTTTTGTTTGAAGAAACCTTGTCAGACACATAACCTAAATTTGTCTTGTAATCTTCTTCTTGACTCTGTCTCTATTAAGTCAGTGTAGGTCTTCTTTAGCATTTTCCATTCATTTTGGAATTGAGTCGATAACCTATGTTAGGTTATTTACAAATGCTTGTTAACAGACTAATTGTATTTATACACTAGAGATGCTTCGAATAGAGGTTTCCCCGAACAACCGAATAGTATTCCGTTTAAGCTTAACCGAACCGGATATTCGGGCGAATAATTCGGTTTTCCCATTCATTGTTTTTATTTAGCCAGAGTGTTTCACGGTAACATGTGTATAGAGGCCTGCCAAAAAGTTGTGATAAGTTAGGAGGCTCGGCCAAATTGTAAGGCCGGGCTATTAAAAAAATAAATAAATAGAAAAACATGTGTATAGTGAACGATTATTTTGGAATCAAGGTACCTTTATTAAAAAATACGCAAGAATCTTGCCGAAGAGAGCTTGGTATTTCTGCACCATAATTTATCACTAATTAATGTTTCATTTTGCTTAATGTTATTTAATCTTTGATTCCATATTATGTTGCCAAGAAAATATAAATATCCAAACCAAAAATATATGCGGCGTCAAAACAGAATAATTCGGCCAAATTCAAATGGTGAAAAAGATGCCGAATATCGAATCCCAAAAGAATATTCGGCCCATCTTTATTATACACTACTGAACTTCGTTAAGTGAACATTTTCTATGCTCCTCTAATGGAATTTTTTAGTGTTTAGAATATTTTATGTCATTTATTCATGCACAAATTTGTTATTTTAAGTCTCCAGTTTTAGATCTGATTTAAAGGACAGAATTATGAATTTAAAAAGATGGCAACACCAAGCGATGTTGATTTTAGCGTTGTTATCTAGCTGAAATCCGTCAGGTCGTGTGTTGTAGTGGCTTCTTTATAGGCGGGCGTTATCTACCAAGATTAGATCGGGTCGTATCTCGCCCGCCCACGATAGCGTTCACATCTCTACCTCTAATATTGGATATAGAGAGTTAATATATTATATATAGTAGGTACATAATAAAATTTATTATTGTATTAATACATTTAGTGGTTTAAACTTATGTTTGTTGATGTTTCTGTCATTAATATGTTGAAAACGTTTGTGCTCTCGGCTCATTCGCGTGGATTTCATGAATGTCAAACCTCTATTTAACCTTGGGGTTTAATTTTTTTCTAATCCTTTCTTAGCAAACCTATAAAACTAAATAATAATAGTCATATAATTTTATGAGTGTAACAAATTTACAACTCGAATCGTCTAGTCGTAATTAGTCAGTCTGCTTTTTTTCCTAGTTTCCGCGTGGTCCCTGTAGAGCCGCTTAATGGAATAAAAGTAGCCTATTTAATTCGGGCTGTGAATTATCCGTATTTAAAATTTCACTTAAATCGGTTAAGTAGTTTTTGCGTAAAAGAGTAACTATAAAACTGTTTTAGCAATTATAAAACTACTTT